TTTGTTAAATTAATCATATCTCTATGTAATTTTAAACAAACTAATGAGCATTAGATTCTATGAAAACCTCTAGCTTAAGAAGGGGGAGCTACTAACTCTCTTCTCTTCCTCCACTACCACATGTGAGCTAATTACCTCTCGGTCTCATAGTCTAGCACACGGTTTATATTATTATTGGTTTAGTCTACGCAATTCTTTCTCAAGTTCATGCATAAATGACTAAATCAATTGAAAGGTTATCAAACTTCCAATGCATTAAGTTCAATAATATAAACTCCTCATGCGAATAACTTTAATTGAAAGTATAAAATCACAAAATCTATATTGAATTGATTAGGCTACATCATAGCCCTAATAAAATAAATCAGTTCATAATAAAAAGAATAAAATCTGAAATCAAAGTTATGAACATTCAAATATCAAACAATAAATAAAAACTCAAGGAAAAACAAAACCCAATTTGAGAAAATCGAACTCCTTGATCTTCTATTGTTGATAGAACCTCAATCTTGATCTCCAATAATGCCCAAAAGAGGGCTGCCACAAGCCTCCCAAAGCTCCCTTCAATTCTGAATTTGGATGGGTATTTATAGGATTTTAGAAACCCTAATTGAAATAGAAGTAGGACTTGGAATAGAAATAGGAAACTGAATTTTAGATGCTGATCATGTGGTGCTGACACTTCGGATTACGTGTTAACACAAAATAGAAAACAGAATCTGATTCTAGATGTTTAGCGCATGGTGTCGACACCCCGTCTACGTGTCGACACTACACCCGTGTCAGGTTTCTGGTCTCCTTTTGCAATTTCTTCAATGGTAAAATAGCAGATTTGGTTCCTGACTTCTGGATTCTGCACAAGTTGATCCTCAAGTCTCTAATCTCTTCAATTTACTTCTAAAAAGTAGGATTTCTTCCAATTAAATCCTTTCTTACACAAAAAATGAAAACCATGTAAAATCAAACAAAATCCCATAAAACTCATCCAAATATCAATAATATCAAAGTAAAAATTCCCTATTAATATGTTTATAAATTTAGCTCATCAAATTCCCCCAAACTTAAGTTTTACTCGTCCTCGAGTAAAATAAAAAAATAAAAAATAAAAAAAAGAACAAAAATAAAATCTAACTCACTTTCGTAGGAATCACGATTGCACTTAGCATGTGCAACAAGCCTTTAAACCCCTAGGTCACCCTAGTGGACGAGTTGTGTCTCGTGAGGGTTTGCAGTGGATCTACCCACAAAATCCCAATGCAAAAAATGCAACTATATGATATGTATGCAAAGAAAATTTAGGAATTAAAGTTCAATTACAGGCAAAGTCTCAAATATTCAAAAGTTTTCATATGCTCACTTAAAGTTAGATACTCCATCTTATTCTTCACACCACTTGTTAAAAGATTTAGCCCACGAGCACTTAGTATGTGTGTGTGGAAATTCATAGTAAGAAGTTTCGAGTTTAGACCTTCACACCTTAGCACTTATTACTATCTTTTTTTTTTCCTCAATTTTTTTTTCATAAGTCGAGTTTCCTTAGGCTTTCTAAGTTACCCATGTAACGAGCTTTTTGTCAATGACTCCCAAACCAGTTGGCTTTAGGGCATTAGGTGAAGAGACA